GTCTTTTATAAATTTTGGAAGTTATCAACTCCTGTATCTGAACAGGAAACCTAAAAATTTGCAGGCTTGTTTCAACTTTCTATGTATGTAGTCACATATGAAATAACATACAGAGTTTCAAATAAATGCGGCAGGATTATCTCAGTCTGGTAAAGTGCTTGACTGCAGAGCAGGAGGTCGCGGTTTTGATTCCTGGGGTCAGACCCATACTCAGGGTCTTAAAATAACTGAGAAATGAAGGTACTACCTTCAATGCCCTGCAAATGGCCAGACCTTCGCGTGGCTCAGATAACCACATAAAATGGTGGTCCCGTCTCCAGTAGGAGATGTCTTAAAATAATTAGCCCTTTCATGCTAAATACATTGACACTCAAATAAAGTGCAGTTTTTAAATTACCGTGTACATTGTACTCACCATCTGTCCTCTCATTGGCTAATAGCCTACAGTTAATTTTGGAAATTAGTGCAACCTACAGATTAGTGACTAATCTGTAGGTTTCGTGCACAGTGCATGATTCCTAAGAGCAGTGTCAAACTGTGTTCTGTTAATCATGATGGATTTTGTGTAATAAGACAATACTATTATTACTGGTAGATTTGGTTTTTTGTGATATTTGGAGTAATCAAGGTCTTGATAAGTGTTATCAGCCTCGGTCTTCAGCTTGGCTTATGACACGTCAACCTTGAGTGTTCTTAGCCTCCCACCCAGATGTTCCAGGTATCACAAAAACCTCATCATCCAATAACAGTCATACAGAGTTTAGGTATTATGATCTTGGAACTGATGTCACTGTTCTGAGGGAACAGTACCAAAATCAGGCTCAATTTTTACATGCATAAATAGCAAACTGTGGAGCTTTCTGAAACGGTGTAGTGATACCTTATTAATTGCCTTCGTTACTTGCATTCAAAGGGAAAGGGGAATTTGGGCATGCCTGAACCCAGGGGGGGGGGGGGGAAACCCTTAAAGCAGAAATGTCCTCAAACCAAAGACAGTCTCTTCTCGCTTTATCTCGAGCTTTTATTCAATTTGAGTCGACGTTAATTGGCGAAGTTGTTGTTCCATGTCTTCGAACAATCACCGTAACGACGGACCTGCAAGATGAAGATCTCTCGATGATAAAGCAAAAAATCAATAGACTGATATATTCAACATTGAATGGAAAATTTCCAGTCAATACAGTCTTTCTTTTTGCAGAAATTCTTTCTGACTTGATAAGTAAGACTTGGAAATCCCCAGTGTTGTCTCTAAGAGAATCGGTTTTGCACGTGATTGATGAATTTCCTCAGATTTGTATAGAAGTGCCAAGTCTACCAATTTCATTCTCACAAGTCAAACAAGGAATATTGATTCCTCGTCGATTTGCTTTTGATGTGGAAGAAATGTTCACTACACTTCAAAACTTCAAGTTTGTAGTCTTGAACTGTAGCCTTGACATATCTGAGCCACAGGTGCCATCATCTATCAGAACCAATGATCAAAGTTCATTTGACATGAATTTTCAGTGGAAAAGAAATAAAGTTCAAAGGTTGATAACAATGTTTCAACAACATGGGATCAGACTCATTTTATCATCAGAGAATGTGTCTGACCTTGTCTTACATTTCTGTAGGCAAACTGGAATAGCTGTTGTCAGTATGATCCCTGTCGAGTATACAGAATACATTTGCAAGTGCACTGGAGTACTTCCTGTTCATAATATTGACAGTAATAACCTTGACGAAGTCTTCTTAGGCACAAGTCTTTCGTGTGGTACTCAGAGACTAGGTCATCAAAAGTTTGTTTGCATGCAAGTCGACCCACGTAACCTTCAGTTCAGTCCACACTATTTAATTCTTTGCTCCCCAGCTCAAGGATTGTGTAAACAATACTACATTGCTCTTCACAATGCTTTAAAATGTGTCAAAATGTCTTTCAGTGAAGATGGGAATTGCCTGACATTTCTACCTGGTTGTGGTGCTGCTGAGTTTGCTATGAGCTTTAGTTTGAAGCTTCATTCACTCAATGTAGTAGATCCCAATATGTCACAAGCCTTGGAAATATTAAGTAAAGCTTTGCAAACTATTCCACACACACTCCATCAAAATTCATTTTCTATTTCACACCAAAAAGAAAATTTTATGCATTGTCTACATGAAGTTAAGAAGTCTTGGAACAACAATGGTATTGTTCTTGGAGTAGACTCTAAAACAGGAAAGTTGTAGATGCTGGAAAGTTAGAAGTTTATGAACCCTTTTCAGGGAAGTATTTGTTGATACAGAGTGTGCTGCAATGCTTATCACAGCTGCTGAGGACAGAAAAATTCTTAGGTGTAAAAAAGCTGTAGGCTATTTATAGGTTTAAACCCTAATGCAGTGTCCCACATAGAATGCATATAGTTGTATGATTGTATGTCTTTTATAAATTTTGGAAGTTATCAACTCCTGTATCTGAACAGGAAACCTAAAAATTTGCAGGCTTGTTTCAACTTTCTATGTATGTAGTCACATATGAAATAACATACAGAGTTTCAAATAAATGCGGCAGGATTATCTCAGTCTGGTAAAGTGCTTGACTGCAGAGCAGGAGGTCGCGGTTTTGATTCCTGGGGTCAGACCCATACTCAGGGTCTTAAAATAACTGAGAAATGAAGGTACTACCTTCAATGCCCTGCAAATGGCCAGACCTTCGCGTGGCTCAGATAACCACATAAAATGGTGGTCCCGTCTCCAGTAGGAGATGTCTTAAAATAATTAGCCCTTTCATGCTAAATACATTGACACTCAAATAAAGTGCAGTTTTTAAATTACCGTGTACATTGTACTCACCATCTGTCCTCTCATTGGCTAATAGCCTACAGTTAATTTTGGAAATTAGTGCAACCTACAGATTAGTGACTAATCTGTAGGTTTCGTGCACAGTGCATGATTCCTAAGAGCAGTGTCAAACTGTGTTCTGTTAATCATGATGGATTTTGTGTAATAAGACAATACTATTATTACTGGTAGATTTGGTTTTTTGTGATATTTGGAGTAATCAAGGTCTTGATAAGTGTTATCAGCCTCGGTCTTCAGCTTGGCTTATGACACGTCAACCTTGAGTGTTCTTAGCCTCCCACCCAGATGTTCCAGGTATCACAAAAACCTCATCATCCAATAACAGTCATACAGAGTTTAGGTATTATGATCTTGGAACTGATGTCACTGTTCTGAGGGAACAGTACCAAAATCAGGCTCAATTTTTACATGCATAAATAGCAAACTGTGGAGCTTTCTGAAACGGTGTAGTGATACCTTATTAATTGCCTTCGTTACTTGCATTCAAAGGGAAAGGGGAATTTGGGCATGCCTGAACCCGGGGGGGGGGGGGGAAATCCCATACATTACCTATATGGGTATGTGCAGCCCAACGGGGTCGTGATTTTGAAGCTCCTGATTTAGAACGGGGTATCCCTTTCAGAGGCGTTTTCTAGAACGGGGTATAATATTTCGAATGCATGAAAGCTCCAGTTTTGTAAGCAGCCATTTGAAATTATTCAAGGACGGATTGCTTTTACTGTGCTTTTCACAAACATGCGAACTCTAAAGTTCAAAGGCTGCCTTCACAATTGCGTTTTTCGCTGCTGTCAATCATAATTACGATCTCAAGCAACGAACCTTGAAACGACGGATCCAAATCCACCAATCACAAACTATGACCTTTTGAACCCGTTAAAGTAAAGTTTTGTTTCCTAGGAGGTCCATTAAGATGATTGACAGCAGCGAAAAACGCAATCGTCAGTTGCCTTTTGAACTTCACAATTCGCATGTTTGTGAAAAGCGCAGTAAAAATATGGTTCATTAATGCGTTAACAAGCAAACTGTTGTACTCTTGTTGCACCCTAGAATGGAGTATAAAAAATTGGCCCATTTCTAGAACAGGGTATCAATTTTAGGGCGAATTCTAGAAGGGGGTATAAAAAATTTGCCCATTTCTAGAACGGGGTATCAATTTTAGGGGAAATTTTTTTTTAGAATGGGGTGCCAATTTAAAGTCCCGGTGGCACATACCCACCTAAAAAATACCCAAGTGCCCCCCCCCCTCCCCGGGTGCCAGAACCCCAGGGAGGTACTCCAGATTTCAAGTGACAGGGATGATTGAAGGACTTTTTGGGTCTGAAATTTTAGATTCTGAGATTTTTGGGTAAGAAATTCTGGCAAGTATCAGTTTCGGATAGCTTGATTCAAGTAGGCAATTTTTGGGGTATTCAAAACAATTTAAAGATTCTTGGTAGTGCTTGCGTATCCTGGCTGCCAAGTTCTGTGATTAACATAGAACCACACTTTTTTGAAAAACTATATTTTTCGTGTTATATTGCAGTTTAATCTTTTCTGGAAAATTTTAAGACTTGTAAATTTGGCATGGGATTTTTGGGTGGGTTAAATTTTGATTTAGGGATGTTTCAATGGGGTTTTGCTGGAAGCCTGTAGGGATAATTTTTGGTTTTGATTTTTGACCCCATTTGATCATCCCTGTTACCTGAAATCTGGAGTATTCCCCCTGAGGCCAGAACCGAAACGGCATATGTGGGAACCTTCTGTCCCAGACAACACTGACTTTGTGGACACCTCATTAATTATAAAAAACCCAATAATAAATGGTTAGGAGGTGAAAGGTGCTGCAGAAATACATTTTACAAATGTTCCACTAAAACAAACCCCTAGCCCTCACCAATTTTTTTTATTATTATTTTTCATTTATCTTTTAATTTTTTTGGAAAGTGAGTAGCTGAAACTTATCAAAGAACAAATAACCGGCCCGGATCGGGATAACGGAAGAGGACAAAGGAAAAGGGGCACGTGTGGGTACCCCCCATAGATTAGGTGGGGGAGATGGCTAGCATTTCAGACCAAACGGACACCTACCCCCAAATCTTCCCCTCCCCCTCCCCGCTCCACATCATATTCGTCCCAGTCTCTGTTTATCAACACACAGTACATTTCGTCTTCCATATATGACGCATCTACACAAAAAAATCAACATGGCGGCCAAACGAAAATCACAAGGTGGTCGCGAAGATGACGACGATTCTTCAATTTTGCCGCACAAACGACATGAAAACACGACATCACAAGATGCAACGACTTATTATAGCACAGAATCTTCTTATGGCGTTCAGTGGTACGAACAGCGCGGCCAGTGGATAGCATTGTATGACTGGAATAGTGGACATTATTATTATCAAAATATCGGCGATCATAGAACGCAGTGGGAGCAGCCAGCAGATTGGGATTCTATTCATCCTCTGTATATACCAGTAAACCAGTACAGTGCGGGATTTTGGAATGAATCGGTGAACAGAAAAGTCGATACATCAAAATATGTGCACGAGGAAGAAAACTACAAGACATCTGTCGGCGATTTGGAAGCGAAGGTTCAGCTGTTTCTCAGTCGTCCTGCTCGCCGACAGATCGATCCGGAGGAGAAGAAAAAACTGCACTGGATCCCTGAGGGAGCTACTGAATATAACATTTGGTATGATCGCTGGGTGGGAGAACACTGGAGAGCGGACAAAGACCACGGTCAGTTATGTGGTTAATTAGTTAAATCTTCTTCAACCTTGGAAACTTAAGTAAAAACAAAAATGTTTGATATACACGGAAAAGCGTAGTTTAATACAGTTATTAGTGAATGTGAGGTTTAAGTTGACTCTGGTTAACATTCCCCCTGGCACCCCAGGGACCCTCTGAATAGGTGCACAGAACTAATGCCCAAGAATAGCAAAAAAGGCAGCTTATGGGTGGCATTTGTTGCTCAAAAACACCTTTGCTTAAAAACCAATCATTATTCACCTTCAAACAGAAAAAGATGGACGACATCTTCATAGAGAAAAAAATATAAATTTACTTTTTTTGTGGTTCTGGCTTGCAATCTTTAGCATAATCACTGAATAGTTAAGAAGTATTTTCTGTTGCACAAACAAAAAAATCATATCTGAGATATGTATACATTTTTTTTTTGTTGAAGGCAAATAAATAGATCTATTGATATTATAAGTCACTGGCTCAAATATCTTCGCGAGTTTTGATTCCAAAATTAGTTTTTCTTGGTTATTTCTGACCAAAGAAGTTTTAGATTATTGCTACCATAGATGATAGTGAATATTATTATAGAGTCAAGTTTAAATTAATTGCCAAGACAAAGTTCCTCTTTTGCCAGTAAATTTGCTTAATGTTCAGCATCTTTTAGCAAGCTTTCAAAACATCTTTTATCCTTTGGTAATCCTTAATTGCCTCCAAATCCAGCTCCCCTTATTTCTCATGTTTACCAAAATCTTTATTATTGGAATCAGAATCTGAGACACTGTGCCATTGTGTAGACTCCTTTTCCATCATTATTTTAGTAATAAGCTGAGTGTGATCTGGTGAACTTTCTAAATCTGAGAACTTTTCAATTGTTTCCAAGTCCAGCTCAAATTCATCTTCAGAATCATCTTCAAAGTCTGACTCAGAATTTTCATCATCATCATCATCATCTCTTAGGTCTGAATCACAGTCCTCATCTAAATAATAAGCTGGGTCTGTAGGTGGTACAAGTTGGAGTTGCTCCACAGTCTGCTGGTATTTTAACTCTGAGACAATTTCTTGTCCTTTCATCTCAGAAGGCAGACTGTCTTGTCTGATACCAACTTGTCCAACTCTGACCGTGTTTTTATGTGTTAATTCCACTGCAGAATTTGTTGAAGAGTGCAGGTGTTGAAGCAATGTTACAGGCTCTTGAAACACTTGCTTTTGTGCCACTGATTGCATAATCTGTTGCTCATTTTTCTCAAACATTTCTAGTGAAGGAGCAAATGGTCTCTTGTTTCCTGGCAGCTCCTCGTGTGGACTTGCTAGTGACGTGAATTCCATCATCGGTTGTTGTGATAACTTACAAGCTATACCTGGTGTTTCTAGATCAGCTGCTGGTGCAATACACATGGTGTTGATAAACGGTGTTGCCATTGCAAGACTTTCTTGAGTTATATCCATTTCTTCGTGATCCGCATTTGAAAATGGAAAAGGAACTACTTGTTGATCTACCTCCATTTCCTCTTCGCGTGTTTTAAAGCTGAAGAGTGCTGGCGAGGCCAAAATAGATGGTAGGGAAAATGACAGAAGGTGCCACAACGAAGAATTTTCCTGCTCAGTCTCCATTGCATCGCTTTCCACCAAAGCATTAGAACTCAATGGTGTCTGCAACATATCGCAAGCCTCTGTTAATGCCCCTGGGTTGTGGCCTATGTCCATTTCCTCCTGTCGTATTTCAGGTTCTGTAGTTAGTTCATGCGTGACCTCCATTTCCTCTGGTATTATGATAGTGAAAAGAGTCTTGCTCTTCCCACTTTCTGTCACCTCCATAAGCTCCACCTGCTCTGTTATACCTTTACTTGGCAACTCTTCATCTGCTTGGGAGGTATACATGGCTGAGGCTAGTGCTGTTGTTTGCATCCTGGAGATCGTCCCTGTTCTGCCTATAGCCTGTCTTTTGATGTTCACTCCTGTTCCTGCTATAATCGTGGAGCCTCTAGCATTCTCCATAGTAGAAGCTCTCTCCTCGCCATTTGATGATCGCTTCGGTCGAGAAGCTGCATGCTCCATCACTTTGTGTGTTATGGCTTCATACTCTTTCGCATTGTTAACGACACTAGATGTTTGTGTTTCCTTACTGACTTTTACAGAAGTTATCAGATCTAAACGCCTTTGCCTTGGTGACATGTTTCGAGTATGTGCTGTAGGAGAAGCAACCTTTCTCACATTAGAAGGCGGTAATAATCGTGGCGTAATTTTATCTTTTGTCTGGCAGGTAACTGATGGAGCCGATAGTCGTAGATCTTCATTTGCGGAAGTTACAACTCTCTTTTGTTGACTCTTTCTGCCCACAGTGGCCAGGAAAGGTTTATCTCCAGTGAAGGATAACACCGAGCATAACGTTTCTTTGCCGCTCTTCTTGTCTTTTTTCAATGCTTTTGATTGCATCTCTCTAAGCACTGGCGGGTGGAAGTGATCCGCAGCCGATTTTCGCTTCCAAGTGCTGCGTGATCTACTGGGCTGTGGAGGAAAACTGATGCCAGGGTTTTGTGAGTTCTCGGAACAACAGCATTGGTAAGATGTGATTGGAATGTCTCCTTTCGTAATTGGTGTAAAACTAGAACCACCTGAATGGTCATCTTCACTATGAGGTGATAGTTGTTCTCGATGTACAACAGGAATAACGGCAGATCTGTCTACTTTGGAGCCTTTCTTGAAATTTGATAATACGTTCATCTCTTCGATAGATGTATTTTCTGGCATACTTAGTTTGCTTGCCATCAGCTGAGAGACTGCTTCTTGTATTCTGAAGCAAAACGCTGATACTATTGATTTTGAGTTTGAAACTGCACTTATAAAAAGGTCAACTGTTTTCCATAGAAGCCTCGAGGTAACATTCTTAGTTGCCTTCCCTTTTAGTGCATGAACGTAACTGCAAACCGCCTCCCGTGCGGAAAGCGTGAAAACTGTTATTGTATAAGCCATAATCATGGAAATTATATTTCTGCATTCCTTGATTCTCCAATTGTTTTTTATGCCTGCTAGAAAGCCTTTGAAGCAGACATAACTTGTCCGTTTTACGATCAGCACCAAACGAACCATTGCCTTAGTCACACTGCTTAAGACGTTAAATGTGTTGTGTCCTGGCACACAATCATTGCCTTTTTCTAGCGGAGAGGTAATGTTTTGTGATTCCTTTGATCTCATCGCAGGCGCATAGTCATTCTCAACCTCGCCATTTGGCCGGTCGTGACTTGCAGGTCTTTTTGTTTCCTCATCCATATCAACAGACCACAGTCGCACAAACCNTTAGTGCATGAACGTAACTGCAAACCGCCTCCCGTGCGGAAAGCGTGAAAACTGTTATTGTATAAGCCATAATCATGGAAATTATATTTCTGCATTCCTTGATTCTCCAATTGTTTTTTATGCCTGCTAGAAAGCCTTTGAAGCAGACATAACTTGTCCGTTTTACGATCAGCACCAAACGAACCATTGCCTTAGTCACACTGCTTAAGACGTTAAATGTGTTGTGTCCTGGCACACAATCATTGCCTTTTTCTAGCGGAGAGGTAATGTTTTGTGATTCCTTTGATCTCATCGCAGGCGCATAGTCATTCTCAACCTCGCCATTTGGCCGGTCGTGACTTGCAGGTCTTTTTGTTTCCTCATCCATATCAACAGACCACAGTCGCACAAACCGTTTTGGTGCCGAGCTTGAAATTGGGTTACATTTCGTTTGCGGATTTATCTTTAAAACCTGGTTAAGCTGATCACTTTGATTGTTCAGTCCTTGACTGACATGCTTCCCATTCCAAACGTCATACCTCTCCCAGTGACTACAGGTCGCCTTCAAACTCGAAATACCTTTTTCAGTTATAGGATCTTTGCCTTTCTTCTCCGCATGTTCTTCAAATTTACGAGGCTTAAGTAGATGTTTGTAGTGAGTTCTTTCCTGTCTCATACCACCAGACTCCTCCCACAAAGAAGGTCTGGTACTAGGGACAGCTTTCTCTGTCCTACGAAAATTGCTTTTGCTGGAAACACATTCTTCAACTCTCGCTATCTTGTTGACGGTAAACGGAATTGGCAGCCTGTCGTTATTTGCGTTATTTCCGTTGAGCAGAGTCTCCTTTTGTTTGTAAGGTTTTTTGTTCCTCTCAGTTTGGTTTGGTTTCTTGACTTGGCGATTTCCTGTATTTTCAGATGCAACACGAGGTACTGTACCATTACCTCTGAAGGTAATTGTAGTCAGTGTAGGCTCTTTTTGCTGCCTTGCGGCCGTTCTAGCATTTATCTGCCTGAATACGCAAATAAAACTTTTACAAAACTTCCTTTCCATCCATTTCCACTTTTTCATCACCAACTTTAAGATAAAGAATGTGAACGCGCTGATAATAAATATACCGCTAACGCTATCCATGTTAGAGTTTTTCTTTCCACAAGATCTCTGACTAAACTTTTTTTCTTATTTCATTTGTGACGATATTCTATTGCTACTGTTGCGTCATCGCTTATTCCCGCGCGCGCCATTCAGCGCGCGCTGCTCAAAACACAGCAGTCACGAAAAGCCGACTTGATACTGACTATGGATAACTACATGGAACAAACCGAAAAATGAAGTATTGGCGTGGTAATAAACAATGCAAATGACAACCCAATGTTGAATTTTCTGGAAAACGTTCTCAGGGTATAGACAACATTTTCAACATTAAAATGTTTTTACGCATGTTTGTTCAGCTCGAAAGTGTACTTTAAGTAACGCATGTGTTAATCGAAGTTACTTACTGCCATGGGTGTCATTGGCTGAAATGTTGAAAACGATATTGCATTCGCAAAGAAACTGCTGTTTGGTGGAGAGGCGAGACATTCCGCTTGCAGAGAAAAAAACACCTTTCTGATTGGTTATCACTCGGAATGCTCCGTCAAAAAATGATCTGAGTGTCTAACAAAAACATAAGTAGAAAAAGTAGGAAATAACTCTTTTAAACGGAGAGCTGTTTAAAAACGTCTGTTTAAATGAATCAATAAAAGAAATGAAGATGCATGTTGGATTGAGGAAATCTATACTTGACATGTATTTTAATGTTTTTGCCTTGAAAATTAAAGCATTTTTAGTGACGTTAATATTATTCTGACAGACCACGCACTGAATGCCTTTAGAACCTTTGTAAGGAGTGAAATATTTTGGGCAATTACAACATTTCTGAATTCCCAGTTTTTTGTAAAATGAATTCCCTTTTTTAAAAGTCAAACCCGAGACATCATCCCTGGAATGTTTTAGCAAATTATCAGTTTTTTACGAGCAAAGAGGTAAATGATAATTTAGTCGTAAATATCTTTTCCCATTTACATGTTTACAGGTCCTTCAGAGACAAGGTGCTGTTTAGAAACAGATGCTGGATTCACAAAAGCCAACGTTTATGAACCGGGTGGAAACAAACATTATTTCTGTATCTACTTCGCTAGAGGGTGTTGCCATTTGGGGTCTGAATGTGGATACTTTCACGTGATACCCACGGATAAAGATGAACAAAGGTCAGTGGGTCTTGCTAAATACTCTGTTTTTCATTGATATTGAGAAAATCAATCTTCAGCGTTACCCGAACGGATGAAATTTAGGTAAAAGTCAGTAAGAGTGTTTTTAATTAAAGGTTTTACAAAGTAAGCATAATGGTGGTTGAGTTCCCCAGAGCCAAAAACACCAGTATAAGTGTTGCTAAAGCTTACAAAAGGGCCTTAGGAATGCAAAAAAACAAACAAACAAACAAATCTCTTTCTCTGAATTTTAGTGGTCCGTTTGCCAAAAAAACTTTGTTGAGACTATTTTGTTTGCAAAAAACTTTGCGACTGTATAATCGTCTTCCAAGTGGCCCGGTTCGAGTAGTTGCACTTAAACACAGCTGATATTTCATTGTAGAATCGATCTTGCCCATGACGTTTTTGGCCGAGAGCGTCACCGCCTTCACAAGGATGATATGGGTGGAGTGGGTACATTTGACAAGGAATGCAGGACACTGTATGTTGGAGGATTGGCTAATCGAACTAAACTGGAGAAACTTCTGTGGTCTGAGTTTGGCGAGTGGGGTGAAATTGAGGTAAAAATAAACATTGCCCGTAATAAAAGCAAGAGGTTTACATAAGTAAAACAGCAACTTTGCACGTGCATCACGATTTTTGTACATTTCTTTGCTGTCACTGTACTACTATGACGTGGAAATGTCTATTTTTACGTTTTTTACACGTGGAGGACGTCAACACTCGACGTTCTTTTTCTTTTCCTGAACTTCGATACAGTCTTTTAGGATTCGACTGTAGATAAATTTGCTAACAATTGAGGATTTGAACGAGACTGAATTAATTCACTTGTAAGTGACTTTTTCGCAAGAATGAAGCTCGGTTTCGCCCTCAGATAGCAGAATTTAGTGGAGGCTCTCGTGAACGGTCACGACCTCTATTACCGTCACTTTTAGACATTTCTCTTTGTGTTTATCTTCCGGAAAAAGACCACTGGAGACAAGCTTCGATCTGTAAGCCTTTGGCTCTTATTATANGAGATTGGATTATCTTCTTCCAAGTGCCCTGGTTCGAGTAGTTGCACCTTAACACAGCTGATATTTCATTGCAGAATCGATCTTGCCCATGACGTTTTTGGCCGAGAGCGTCACCGCCTTCACAAGGATGATATGGGTGGAGTGGGTACATTTGACAAGGAATGCAGGACACTGTATGTTGGAGGACTGGCTAATCGAACTAAACTGGAGAAACTTCTGTGGTCTGAGTTTGGCGAGTGGGGTGAAATTGAGGTAAGAATAAACATTGCCCGTAATAAAAGCAAGAGGTTTACATAAGTAAAACAGCAACTTTGCACGTGCATCACGATTTTTGTACATTTCTTTGCTGTCACTGTACCACTATGACGTGGAAATGTCTATTTTTACGTTTTTACACGTGGAGGACGTCAACACTCGACGTTCTTTTTCTTTTCCTGAACTTCGATACAGTCTTTCAGAATTCGACTGTAGATAAATTTGCTAACATTTGAGGATTTGAACGAGACTGAATTAATTCACTTGTAAGTGACTTTTTCGCAAGGATGAAGCTCGGTTTCGCCCTCAGATAGCAGAAGTTAGTGGAGGCTCTCGTGAACGGTCACGACCTCTATTACCGTCACTTTTAGACATTTCTCTTTGTGTTTATCTTCCGGAAAAAGACCACTGGAGACAAGCTTCGATCTGTAAGCCTTTGGCTCTTATTATATTTTTCATGGCCTTATTCTTTCCTTTTACCTTCTAGGACTTGAGAGTAATACCAAAACGCAACATCGCGTTTGTGCGCTACAAGAACAGGGTGAATGCGGAGTTTGCAAAGGTGTGGTGTGAACTGTTTCGTTACAAAATTTAACCGGGTGCGTTAGGTTTGCAAAAGATAGACAACGGGGAAGGTGTTGGAAAGGAAGGAAGAGTGGGGGAGATCCGCGAACGCGCAAGGAGGTGTCCTTCCTCCTCGCGTGACCGTCACACTCTCACCCCCTTCCTCCTAGAGAACCTCCTTATCACAAACTATGCAGACAATGAATATTCCTAGCTTCTTAACGTTGTTACTTTTCTTCGTTTCGACCTTGAAGACTCTGTAACAGTGTTACTTTAACCCTTCGACTAAAACGCGAGAATCTCGAAAATATACCATTCGGTTCATTAAAAAAAACTCTTCATTTTTCTCTCACGAGAATTACCGGTCTCTCAGTTTTCCCCTTATTAAAGGCGATGTTAAACGAGACGATTGGCGACTACGATTTTTAGCGCAACACAGCGTAACTTGCAATGTTGGAACATTATTGAAACTATTCGATACAATGATGCAACACTGTGTTGCGCCAAAATCGTCATTGCGAATCATCTCGTGTATCATCAGCGGCAAAAAGGCAATAGGTTAGATTAGCAAAACAACAATTTTGTACGTGCATCAGGCTTTTTTTAACAGTTCTTAGCCGTCGTTGCACTACTGCAACGTGAGAGTGCCTAATTTTACGTTTAGTGAAAGACGGGAACACAACCCCGCAAGACAACAACTTTCTTTTTCTTTTCCTGAACTTTGATAAAGTCCTTCAGAATTCAACTCCATTAAAATTTGCCCACATATGACAAGTTAAACGAGATGGAATAAGTGCGATAAAGTTTGAAGCAGCGCGAATCACAATTTTTTTAGTGACGTTTTCATAACCGACGCCGTCGTTGTTGCTTAAGCTCCCTAATGCAAATAGACTGATACAGGAAAGTAGTCTAGTCCAGCTTAGGTGTTATGAGGAGATGTCGTTGAGGAACCGTTAGGTTTTTACGCGGCGAAGGTGTTCCAGATCGTTCCTTTGAAAACCTTCCTGGCACAGACGTGTCATTTGTGTTTTTAAGTATGATTATACTGAGATTTTTGTTCGCTCTTTAGATCGCAATGTCAGACCAGAAGTTAAACAATAGAGAATTGCTCAATGTAAGATGGGCTTTTGATGATCCTAATCCTAAAGCAAGGAAAGAGGTGCGCACTTGTAGTTAGCGTTTCTAAAATACATGTTGAATTGGACTCTGTGAACTCCTTTGATTAATAATGACCTTGCTTCCCCCGTTCGAACAAAAAGAGAGATTTATTGGGAAACGTTATCCCGTCAAAGAAAGGACAAATCCAAGCTATTTGCTCTTAAGTCCGGATCTGGCGTGGTTCTCAGGCTAGCCTGCGTAGCAAGCGTTTCCTCGCGAGGTTCGTCTAGAAAGCTGGGACAAGAGCAAAAAAAAATGAACCTTCGCGCAATAACACGATTGGAAACGCTTGATACGCAGGCTATTCTCAGGCGTTCCGAAGTAGCTCGTTTAAACAGTGACAGTTTAAACTCGGATCGTCTGGGGACGAGACTATTGGAAGCACCAAATGAAGACTCAGACGACTTATCCATCCTCGACTTTACAACTTAGCGATATTTTCATTGCTCAAGGCTAACTTTAGCATCTTTCTGACCAACCTTTGTTTTGTTTTTGTTTTTTTTCAGGAACTTTTAAGAGCGAAAAAGAAGGTACTCGAGGCCGCATCAGAGAGAGGTTTACTTCAAAAGGCCCGTTTGCGCCCCCGCGACCCACCCGGTGGCCAGGTAACAGGGCCTTATCCAGATACAAACAACCAGTACCCCGTGGAATGTGGCCCTATGAGCAAGGAACAGTTCGAACAGGTATAGGTTTGCTTTGCTGTTTTAAACCTTTTTTTTACTCTTAGTTAATTTCCCTTTGGTTAAATATATAGTAAAATCAAATAAAATCATTTTTTATTGCTTCTCCCTTAACGTTAGTGTCTGTAAACAAAATCCTAGGCCTTACTATGTTAATTAGCTTCAAACGGTACTCTTTTCGTGCTAGAACTAGGATTGTTCTTACTTTTGAGTCTGTCTAAGAAGGCAGATGAAATCAGGACTTTTCAACAGCAATTTCATATGACACTATTTGTGGTGTATAAATGGGATCTAACTTTTGGGTATGTGGATCGGGAATCATGTGTTAAAGAAGCTTGGCAAGGGAATGTGCGCGGGAGACGAGAAAAAAATAAAGAATGAGAACAAAACAGAGGATTGGAAATGAAGCTACTGATAGAGCTGGGGTTCAAGTTAGGGTTTTGTTATTCTTGTTCTCATTTTTCATTTTCCCGTTCCCATTTTTCATTTTCCTGTTCCCCGTGCTCGTTGTAAGTGCCCCGTTTTTAGGTAGTAACATCCCAGTCTTTGGAATTTCAAAAATATGAAACGATATGACAACGCATGCACTCTGCAGCCATAGAATTAAATCCTACGGTTTGTTTTCCTGTTTCAGGCTGAAATACTAGAGAATGTGTACACAGACTGTACGAGGTTGGACGAGGCTCTGAAGAGAGGAGAGGCTCTCCACGTTAAAGAGGCGGACAGTAGTCAAGCAGTTCATTCACAGCTCTCTGAATACTCTGAGTACAGTAGTGCAGAGAACACACAAGCTACAGAGACAGATTGGAACAGTGATAATAATTACTCAGGATATTATAGTTACGATTATAGCCAAGCATGGGACTATTCGCAGTATTATCAAACTGATCACTCGTGTTCAACTAAGGATCCTTACAGAGAGATACTTACGTCCAGCGCTAAAGACAATTCCGAAGCTTCCAATAGCTAACGAACCAAGGTCCGATCTTGAATCGACGGGTACGTTAGTATGCCAGGGAATGCCCTACTTGCTAACGAACTTAGCTCCGATGACGGATCGATTGAGACGCAATTACACGTCAAAGAATCTACAGCTAGTAGCTAGCCTGCGTAGCAATCGTTTCCGTGCAGTTTAGGAACTAAGAAAGAGGAACGAGTGTCAAAGACCGCGATAAAAATGGCGCGAGTTAAAGAGCGGGGAGGGGGTGGGGAAGAAAGGGAGGAACTTCCTATTTCCTTCCTTCCCCTCCCCCTTCCCCTCCTCCCTCTTTCATTTTTTGGCTCTCGTTCCGTTTCCCTTTCTCATTTTTCGATCCCCGAATCGACTGAGGGCAGAAGAAACGCCCATGATTTCTTTTACGAACTAAAGTTTGGATTCAGTTTTTTCCCTTTTAGAATAAACCTTCTTCACGGGCTTTAGGATGGACGGGATAAAAGGGATGTCACATGGTATTTCCGGGGGGGGGGCAAACTGATGAAAACATTTGCCAATACGAGTAATCGCAGTCGAGATTTTTTATTCTCTCAGATCGAGACCACAATTTTAGTCTCGCTGAGAATGCACAGTTCGAGGACCGACAAGTTTTTACGTCATTATCGCTTGCTATGAGGACGTGCACAGTCGCTGCTGTATCCAAAAATGGGAACAATGATCACTTTCAGCCACAATTTGCCATTATCGTCTCAACGATGACGTCGTTAATTTACTACAACAAACAAAATCCAAGCGTTTCTTTGAGATGATCGGGATCAGGATCAGTGATCCTACATCACTTGAACCATGGTAGATCAAATGAACCGATGAATCGTTGTCCGGATCACTGATTCTGATCCGGATCATCTCAAAGGAATGCACCCTAAGACTCTCGTTCCTTAAACCGCACTGGGATTAATAAATTTGAAGAAAAAAGAAAAAAACGAAATGAATTGTGGTAGCTGTGGTTCAATGACGTCACTGTGGAGATGCACTGTGTTGCAGTGCGTTACAAAGCGTTTTCACTCACGTGACTTGCGTCTATGTAAATGTATTGCAACAAAAGAAAGCGTTTTCATTAGAAAAGAGTGCAAATCCCACCGGATTTTGTTTGGAACACCAACATTGTCGACGTTAATTGTTTTGGAACAATGGCCGCAGTGACGTTTTGTGAAAACGTTCCCTACTGTCTGTACTCGTTAGAGAAATTTACATAAAACAAGATTTGTTTTCACCAATTTTAAAATAATCTTCATATTCTGAATGTACAAAGAACTGATTTTTTTGTTACTACATTAGTTCTCACTCAGGTAATAGCTAGAAAAACCAGACGAGATCGCTTAAAGTCGCTTTAAAGGCGCTATGTGTTAGTACTAAAATGACTAAAGAGAATCAGAAAATGGAACGTCCATGAGCCACTAGCAGAACACTTGACGGGGGGTCGCTCCTGACTCCCCACAAAAGATTTTTTTTTCGTTTTTGTTCGTCACGTGACGTTGGATGTTCTGTGTTGTCGTTTACGGGTACATTATTAGGGCCATTTATACGAGGAAATATAAGACGCGTCTTAAATAAGACGCGAACTGTACCATTTATACGAGCATGTCTTATCTAATAAGACGCGTCTTAGCTAAGCCGCGTCTTATTTTAGACGAAATGTGCCATTTATACGGAAAGTTCGCGTCTTATTTAAGACGCGTCTTATTTTTCCTCGTATAAATGGCCCTATTAGCATCATTGAAGCCGAGCAGTTCAGTAAGTTAGCATTTTTGGTTTTAGGCATTTTTTCCTTTCGTTTTTAGGTTTCAGAACAATTGTTATTGCAAACTTAAGTAGTTTTGCCTATAATTTTTCTTTATCAGAAAACCACCTACAGCTACGGGGTTGACGGTGTGCAAATCTTTGTTTGAGTAAGATTTTTGATGCTAGATATGTGGGTTTTCGACGTTCGAAAGTATAGTTGCAGAAAAAAAAAATGAGTTCATATGAGTCCGTCGTGATTCGTATCTACAGGGGGTTATCCTAATGCATCAGGAGCCCATCAAATGGAGCCTCCATCTCCCATACAAGCCCTTGGAGTCAACCCTTTCCCGAGTAGATTTATAATTAGAACGGTTCCCAGGGGAGACTTCGCGCGCCGACTGTAGGAAGAGCCAATCACAACGACGAAATCACACTGCTATTGTACTTCATCAAACAGCAGGAAATTCGTTGTTGACAGGCCAAACACAATCATAAGCTAGTGAAACGTGACTTTAGCGTTTTCATCCCTCAGAGATTTTCTTTTTTTTTTCTTTCTAGCGGGTAGATTATACTGTGGAGAGTTTTAAACTCTGACTATGTTAATCTTAATTTTGGTTGCTTGTCTCATATTAAGAGGCCATGAAGCTGGTCTGTTACATGGATTGCATAATGATTAACTACTACCTGCAGTCTGTAGTTCTGACAGGATTCGTTTTCTTTAGCCAATTTTTTTGAGCGTTAAGGTTCTTATTTCGGCTAAATGACTCAATATTAATCAAATTCCTAGTTTTTCAAGGTTTTTTTTTTTTTTCGAAATGCGTTTATCTGAATAAATACTTGTAGTCCTTGTGGTTGTTTTGTCCGTCAGCTAGTGTGATGATTCCCTGGTATGTTTTGTAACGCCGGGTCCAGCCATTGTCTTCTCGCAAAAAGTGATCTACCGATACGAATTCGAAGGAAGGACTTGAGCCTAAACTTCTACATTAACTGCTGAGAATTATCCTGTTAGTCAGTCATAATTCTTTTGGCGCAGATACAATCCATTTTGTTTTTCTTGAGATAAGTGGGTCTTTGGAATGGAGCGCAATGTCACAAATTCCTCCGTTAGCAAATTACTTTTGAGTTAACTTCACGGTCGAGCAACTGTTGTCTTCTGTTCAACTTTTCAAGTGCCAGTTTTATCAGGCAACTCTCATATATGGTGATACAAGTCAGTTGTAAAGGAAGACTGCAATTTCTCAAATTTCGGAACTGAAGCATTCCTCGTTAGTTGCTACTTAGGTCATCGCTTTTGCAAGCGGTGCTTAAATAACTGGGGAAATCCACTCCACGGTGATGACAAAAATCAAATGATCCTGGCACTTTTTCGGCGCTGATCATCGAAAAGTTCCAAATCGCCCTCAGAACGCTTAATCGTCGACTCTTTTCAAGGTGCATGCTTAAATGTAGGATGTATGACGGCAAAAACAAAAAAACACTCGCAAAGATAACCTTTCCGTGATCCTCAGTTCGCTGCCTTTGTCCCATCGCTTCATGCTCAGTCTCAGTCGGGTAATTCATTAACTTTTATTTCATGATACCCAGATCCTAGCGGCTGTAAAATTGTAAAAATGGACGTAAAGGAAAAAAGGAAAACGGTCGAAGGACGGGCTTCTGAGTTCGACTTCATCCAATTTTATTTTTTCACGGTGACACACGAGACTCACGGAAATATGACACTTTTCGCGGGAAATTAGCCGTTCTATTTATAAATCTACTCGGGAAAGGGTTGACTCAAGAAATTAATGGAGATGGAGGCTCCATTTGATGGGCTCCTGAATGCATCCATTATTTTCCAAGCGCTGCAGGAACAACCGTGGACTTCCCTACCGGCCAGAGGCAATCTACTAATATCAAGTGCTCTACATATTGTAACGCTTTCAAAATGCAGTGTGACATTCCTCATTCGCCAGAATTAAACAGGGTCTTTTTTATTATTTGCACGCACATTTTCGAGTTTTGTGATCACAAACAAAACAGTAACAAAACACCCATCCGAACCCAGGCAATATCTCAGGGTCCGATAACTGGTCCGGATCCGATTTTTCCGTAGTCTTATTACTCCTTTACGAAAATTTAAAATTTGCCTTTATTTTTCTGAAAGACCTTTGTCACGCGGCGGCCATTTTGTCCCAAGAGACTGAAAAAGCTTTGTGTTTGCACGGCTAGCCTTGTTCCCACCGCGGGGCTAACTGTGCAAAAAAAAACGCTCTTTTAATCTCCTAGGACAAAATGGCCTCCGCGTGACAAAGGTCTATTTCAGTCTCTCTTCGTTTCTCAGTTTTCTAACGCGAAATTACCCCCACGAAGGAACACGTGACGTCACAATTGATAACATGGGTTACGAAAGAAAAATCATCTCTGAACCGCTTACTTTCTTGAGCGACAAGGAAAGGGGGAGTTGTACGCGCTTCTCAGGACTAAAATGCAACGGTCTGCTCGCACGTGTATGTCTTTCAAAAATGCGACATGTTAAAGAGGTTCCAAAGCGCATACGCAGTAACAACACAGAGTTTAAAAAAAGTATACAATTAGACTTTAATAAGAATGAAAAACAAAAAAATGTTGTCGAATATTTACAAGAGGAAGCCGAGTCTGTTTGAAGCATGATTAATCGTTCTATGATGAATATGTCATCAAATAAAAGAAACGTTAAACGTTTGTACAAATTATTGGACCGATGGACATTCATACAAAAACTACAATAAGCAAACTTTTCATGGTAGTTGCAATATGGGCATGCGGTGACCATCGCAGCTTGTCGCGCGGAGGACAAAAGTAAAACTTTAGCTTTTTTACCAAAGACAATCCAAATGCCGCATATCATCAGCTCATCCACTTGGCGCAGGTTGTTTCCACCATGCTCTAAGATGGAAAAAAAAGACAGACCAAAGTTAATCGTATCATCGATCGAACCGTTTTTAAGTGGTCCTTTGTAACCACAGAGTGAGTTCGCGAGAGTTTGCGAGATAAGTATTTCTAGTTACTATTATTATTATTATTATTATTATTATTATTATTATTATTATTATTATTATTATTATTATTATTATTATTATTATTATTAGAACATGCAAACTGAAGCCCACTACCCTAAGTTCCGACTCAGCAGCATCCCCCCTGCACAAGAAAGCCAGACAGTAATGATAAATAAAGGTTGACAATAGTTTACAGCCAGCTCATCTACTTGGTAGTTCTTTGCCCGTCTACCAGAT